TCCCTTTTTCCTTTTATCCTTTTCTCATTTCAGTTAGAATTGTTCTTAGCTTGGGGAGGGCAGGTCCTACATTTTGTTTTTCTGAAGGGACAGTTGGTGTTTTTTTGTTTTAGAATCGTTGACAAAACAAACAACTGGACCTCAAAGTCCATCCCTTTTTCTGTTTTATTTCAAATTTGTAGGGTATGGCAACCCCATTATTGACTTATACCCCCATATATTTAAATACACGTCATTTATATTACCTTGTCATAATGTTCTTAGACTATTTAATGTGTCCATTTTTATTATTTATTTTTATTTTCCTCATTTTAATACATATTTAATAGTCCCCAATGAATACCCTTTATATATAATTGGTCTCCTGTTCAATAATCGCCCCAACATTAATGAGCAATCTGTATTTTTATTTATGTATGAAAATAATGAAAAAACTAATTTCACATTGATTTTTTTAATCTTAAATGCAACTTATGAATACGACGTCGTTTTGGGAAATTGATTACGACGAAAATGATCGTTGATTCGTGGTCGAATAATATTTATTAAAAATATGGAAGGGAAATAAATTTGGTGTTATTAGAAATTAATTAAGACACGTGGATTGTGGGACCCATAGGCATTTATTAAATTTGAGTTTGTTGCAAAGATAAAGGCGACCTTGTTTCTTCTTTAATTCAGAATTATTATTGATTTTTAATTGGGATTTAATCGAAATTAATGAATATTTGGCGATTCATTTAATATAATAAAAATAATTATCGAGATTTTTTTTTTCTTTTTAAATTTTATTTTAAATCTGTAATTCTAAAATCCAACTCAGCATAATTGTTTATAAAAAGCAACTTTAAAACTCAATTAAAAGGTAAAAAAAAAAAAAATACAATACTGTCTTTTTGAAAAGGACTATTTCATCCAAAACCAAAAGGGGATATTTATTTTTACTTTTACTTTTTACTTTTACCATGACTCGAAAGAAAATGGGAAAATTTAAGAGAGAGAAAGAGGAAGGTGGGGGAATATGAAAGGGTGGGCATGTGATTTCTTGCAGCTTTGCCTTGCCGTGCACGTGACTTCGATTGCAAAACAATCAAATTTGGAATGATCAAATTCATTCTACCAATGCACTTCTATTCATACATTAAATAATAATAATAATAATAATAATACACGTTTTACAATGATAAAACTAACAATGATACGTAACGTGTCAAAATAGATAATATCCATTAGTTTTAGGCTTGAACGGTTAGAAATGATACTAGAAATAGATCTCGAGTGATATGTCAGCGAGAATTGTAGTCTCCGAATGGGAGGATGAGATCTCACATCGATTAAGAGAACAAACATTACTTATATGAATGAAGAAATCTCTAAAAATGTGAGATTAACGATGATATATAACGGATCAAAATAGAAAATATCTATTAGTATTGAGCTTGGACGGTTAGACAGTCCAATAATTTTTATTATTTATTTTATTGGAATTTTAAATTCTCGGGCGTACGTCTTATTGGCCCTTTTATTGTTTTTTTAATTTCTTCAATTCAAATGGAAAATAAATAAATAAATAATTGTTAAACTAAACTGAACAAAGCTGTTTGTTTCTCGGGAAAAGCGGACCTAAAAAGAGCTTTATTGATTAAATGCATGTCCAAGATCTGCTTATTGGATTATAAGAAAAGGCTAGCATTTTGACTAAAAAGTACACCCTCCAGGCAAACTTATAACAAAGTTCACGAGGGTATTTACGTCTTTATCCGTGATTAAAATCTTTGAAAACAGTGGACCCGTCGTCTCCGGCGATTTCTACTCTGCTTCAGAGAGACAAAAGAAACTTAATTTTCTCTTCCCCTCGCCGCCGTCACCGTCGCCGGCGCCGTTGTTCTTTTGTTATCCAAAAACGAAACCCCACCTAACCCTTCTTCCTTTGCTTCTACTTCACCGCAGACCAGAAACTGAAAGCTCCGCCCCAACTAGAATTGTTGGGCGTTGATATTAAATGAAATGGCGGAATCTAAAGCATTCCCTAGGCGGCGGGGGTTCTATGTAAAAATGAAGCTCTCTCATCACAAAAATGGCAGAGCTCAAGAAAAGAGCTTCTTCATTAGATATTACAAATGGATTCTCTGGGTTTCTCTGTCGATTTACTTTTTTACTTCTTATTACATTAGCCATAGTCATAGCCATAAGTCCCATGGAACCGCCGCTCCGATGACAAAAACCCATGTTTCTCGAGCCCTCGTCGAGTCTTCCAATGGTGAATTGAAAGAGATGAGGGTTTTCGTGTACGATTTGCCGCCGAAATACAATGTCGAGTGGCTTTCAAATGAGCGGTGTTCGAACCACTTGTTTGCTTCGGAGGTAGCCATTCATAGAGCCCTGTTGAACAGTGATTACCGGACATTTGATCCACTTGAAGCGGATTTCTTCTTCGTCCCTGTTTATGTTTCTTGTAACTTCAGCACCATCAATGGCTTCCCCGCCATTGGTCATGCCCGTTCGCTCATTGCCTCCGCCATAGCCCTCATTTCCTCCCATTATCCCTTTTGGAATCGCACCAATGGCTCTGACCATGTTTTTGTTGCATCACATGATTTCGCCTCTTGTTTCCATACAATGGTAAGGAATTAAGCAAACCCATATCAAGAAAATGAAATTTATTGCCACATTCTTTTAATTTTAACGATTTGTTTTCAGGAGGATGTAGCCATAGCTGATGGAATACCATTGTTCTTGAAGAACTCGATTATATTGCAGACATTCGGCGTAAACTACAAACACCCATGTCAAGATGTAGAACATATCGTCATTCCGCCGTACATTTCGCCGGATTCCGTACATGACACTCTTAAGAAGTCGCCGGTAACTGGCCGGAGAGACATTTTCGCGTTCTTCAGAGGTAAAATGGAGGTGAATCCAAAAAATGTCAGCGGACGATTTTACAGCAAGTAAATAATTTTCACCTTTATCCCTGATTAAACACATTTCCCGAGGTTAATTTCTACTTATCTCATGTGGGTGTTTATGGGTATTGGGTTTTAGGAAGGTGCGGACGATGATTTGGCGAAAATTCATCACCGACCGGAGATTTTACCTGCAGAGGCACAGATTTGCCGGTTACCAGTCAGAAATTGTACGGTCAATTTTTTGTTTATGCCCACTGGGGTGGGCCCCATGGAGCCCCAGGCTGGTTGAATCCATAGCCTTGGGTTGCGTGCCGGTAATAATAGCAGATGGCATCCGGTTGCCATTTCCGTCGGCGGTGAATTGGCCGGAGATATCCATAACCGTGGCAGAGAAGGATATCGGTAAATTGGGGACGATTCTCGAACACGTGGCAGCTTCCAACCTTACTACTATCCAAAAGAACTTGTGGGACCCAAGGAATCGGCGGGCCCTGCTGTTCCATAATCAGGTACAAGAAGGCGACGCCACTTGGCAGGTGCTTCGTGCCCTTTCGGAGAAGCTGGATAGGTCATATAGGCGATCAAGGATTTCGGAGCAATAATATAACGCCACATAATCAATTAGTGGTCCCCACTAAAGAAGACCATGGTTCCTACGTGGATGTAGTTGGGCATAATGAAGGTGGAAGACAGCTGGAGATAGTATGTAACTGGCAGCTGAGTGATGAATAGTGTATTTTATTGTTTATTGTGGGGCCCGAACCCAGCTGGTGTAATGTCCATCCAATCAGGAAGAGAGGTGATAACCGACGTGGCGGCATCGGATTGGTTAGGGTAATCAAGCAAATATAATGGCAGGGATTCTCTTCCTCCCCCCCGTGAAAATATTAATGGAAGCCCAATAAAACAAGGATGGGCGCGGCTTTGTAAAATACCGAAATAATGCAAACAAATAACCTTTTTGATTTTATACAAAAAAATAAAAAATTATATTATTTGTTTAAAGGAAAAGGGTGGAAAAAGGTGGAAAATGCAATAAATAAAGGAGGGAGGGGGAGGGGGAGGGTGGTGGTGGATATTTAAAAGGGAGACAGCCGGGAGTGTCAGAGCTTTGAATTACACAACGGTGTCATTGTCGGAGTGTTAGTGGGCGGTGTCAGTCGTGGTCAGTTCACGGACTCATTCAAATTTAGAAATAACATTCTAATTTCAGCTGAACCCAAGCAGACAATTTTGGACTCTTCAAACTTGGGTTTTTGATTGTGTTTGTGTGGCCATGGGCTGGGCTTTTTTTTCAATGCTTTGATTGGTGGAAGGCAAAAAGTAAAAACTAATTAATAAAAGTCCGACCTGCCGGATTCGAACCAGCGACCTAAGGATTATGCTGTTGGATTGCCCACTACAGTCCTCCGCTCTACCAACTGAGCTAAGGTCGGATTTGCTTATCCTTCCACCTCATAAATTATATTCAAGAATCTTAGCCGTGAATTTTCGAAAGAATATACAATATGCTATTTTTTAGGATTGTTAATTTAATATTTATTATTTTAAAATTCTCAAATTCAATACTAATATTTTTAATATAAATTTGTTGAGCTGGTCAAATATGGATGGTACACAATATTTGATTTATAAAATATATGTAAATTATAGAGCGAAAACCATACCTAATAACAATTAATTGGTATTAAATGTGGGGGAATTAACGATAAGATGAGTAGACATCACTTATGTATGTGGAGCCAATAAGAAGGAATTATTTTGAAAATTGGAACCATATTTTGGACATTAATTCTGATTTTTTATGACCTTGTTTTATTTGTTAATTACTTGACAAATCACCCTGTCTTTTACTTCACTTGTCAATCCCATGATCAATCATATTGCTTTGGATTCTAATTCTTAATTTCAGTCGATTAGGAAATTAATCATAATTATTATATGTAATCTTTTATTTATATATTTATTTACAATTAGTTTTAATTTCTTATTCTATAATGTTTTTTTTTTAAAAATTTTAATGTTTTAGTTCATAATATTGAAATAATAAAAGAAAGAAAGAAAGGGCCATAATATTAAAAAAAATGAAGCTGTTATACACCCATAACACACCGCCAATATTGTGACCATTATATTTACTATATTATATATACATTCTTAAGAAATCCTGTTAATTTATTTTTATTTTTTTTAATCTTCCACAATAATAATAGCATTTTAATAATAATATTAACAAACCATAAATCTTCTTGGGGACGTGGACGCACACGTAGCATTATAATTCCTAGAGACCCTCTTTCAGGAAGCTGGACCCATCACAAGACCTCACATCAAACCTTTTTTTTTTTTTTTTTGTTTAATTATAATATTTTTAAAATTTAGAATTTCTTGGGTTTCTTTATGGGGTTTTAGCATTCAGGAATCTGCGTGTGGTCTCTCCTTGGATCATTGCAATAATCATACACCAAGTAATTCCTCTGCACCCTTTCCAGCGCTCTGTATTGCTCTTGGCTCAATCCCCCGGAGTCTGGCCTGCAAGACGCCGCCGCCGCCGTGCAACCGCTTATTTTGAAGTCCCGGTACTTGGCTACGAACGGTTGGTAGTGATAATCCACCTTGTATTTCCCATCCTCCGTCGCCCACGAGGAAGCATCCCATATCGAACCGTAAACCCACATTGGTCTTATTGGGAAAGTTGCGTCGTTCCTTCTTGTATACCTTCGAATCGGTACGTTGTCTACTAAAAATCTGTGGAAATGGAAGAACTCTGTAAATCAAGTGGTTAGAGGGGAAAACAAAAGCATGTATTCTATTGTAATTATACGGACATGATATCTGATGCAGACCACCGAATGGCGTAATGGTGGAAGTCCTGTGTCGGGTCAAACCAGAGATGGAATCTCATTTCTCTTCCGACAATGTTTCCATCTCCACTTCCTCTGATGAAGACGTTCGTTTGCAGTGTATACGGCTTCCCTGGCGTCGTTCCCAGGAATTCGAGGTCGATTTCATCGTGGTTTCCGGGGTAATATTGGTTGTTCGAAAGCTAAATCAGAATAAAGTTACACACGGTTAGTCCAGTACTTGAATTGAGTGATTATCATTATCAAGATCAGGGATGATCCTGTATTGTACTAACGTAGAATGATGTGAGAACTCCTGCAGTGTAGCCGGATTGGAGTTTTACAGCAACACCAAAGTAACCGGATCGGTATGAGCGCAGTGATTTAAACCCGCTACCTGTTCGACGAAATGACGCACAGAGAAAAATCAGCCAAAATAGGAAATGGGGTAAGAGATTGTGAAAAACTATTCAGCTTTCTGCCACAACCATATGAATTTGAGGCCCTTTTATCATTTTTCTCTCGTACATTCAAACGATTATTACGAGTCAATTACATTATGACATCCTACTTGAATAGATTTTATTCGGGAAAGTAGGAGATAAACGGTGGACCTGAGGTACTGTCGAGCCAAATGGTTAAGGAGCCTTGGTCATCAAACCTTTGATGCTGAGGACCCCAGAGGTTTGCAAAATACTGAGTAAAGCTGTTGGATTGAAGAGAGGAAGTGAGGTAGTAGCCAGAGGAGGGTGGACCCTGAGCTGTAGTACTACTACTACTAGAAGACATCACAAGAACAAAAACAAGGAGGAAAAGAGAAGCAGCCATGAAATTAGAGCAATAATTTGATGATAGCATGATGGGTAGAGGTGGGACAGAGGGAATTGAAGAGAAATGGGGTGGGAATTTGGGAATAAATAGGGAAGTTTTTGAGATCATTTCAGACCCCACATTACACAACAAGTTAACACAGATTTGTGGGCTGAAGTAAGATCTGCAGAATGAGATGGGAGGAGCATAATCTTCTCTTCTATTCAACAAGGCAAAAAAACCTGTCCCATCTGATCTTTTCTTATCCAAATCTTATTTCTTTTCGTCTGTAGAATGAGTAAAGCTTGCAAGCTATGGCTGCTGCTCTCCATGATTGATGTCACAGAAAATGACCCAACTTGAGGCTTCATTGATGGTAATTAGAATTGGTTTCTGGCTTTAATTTTCTTTATTATGACTAATGATTTTGCATATACATACTAATTTCGCTAACTAAACCTCTTCCTACGCAGCTTGTGGCTGGCTATCCTGCATCTGTTTTAATGTTTGTTGGATCCATATGTAATAGTCTAAGACCACCCAAATATTATTCTTGTTTTGAGTTTTTCCTTATAGGCTTCCTCCTCTTAAGGTTTTTAAAACCCTAATGTTAGGGAGAGGTTTCCACACCCTATAAGGAATGTTTAATTCCCCCTCACCCCTTAGACTAGCATCCTCGCTGGCATACCACCACATGTCTGGCTCTTTTCTGATACCATTTGTAACAGCCCAAACCCATTTTTAACAGATATTGTCCTTTTGAATTTTACATTTCGTGCTTCCTCTCAAGGTTTTTAAAACGCCTCTACTAGGGGAGGTTTCTATGCTCAATGTTTCGTTCCCCTTTCCAACCGATGTGGAATCTCACACTAAAAGATTTACTTTTTTTTCTTTGATAGAAGAAGGTATTAGTATATTATTTCAATTTCTTGTTGCCTTTTTAATTGCAAAAAATAAGTAAGTCTTAGTTTCAACAACGCAAAACATGAAACGACCTCTTAGATATCACAAAAAGACAAGAATGATTTGGTTAAAGTGAAATTTTATCACACACATTGTGATTATAAATTAGATTGTTTAGATAAAGTTGAGTTATCACACGGTCATTTCAATTATAGCTATAGTTCATATTTTGCAGATCGTGGGTGGAGACTGTTCTAGCTCTTCAAACCCTAATTACCATACCTCACCAAAATGAAATGATATGTATATATATATATAAAAACAACTATTTATTATGATATGGAGCGTATAAGGATAAGAATTAAGGAAGACTATGAAATGTGAACGAGATGTTATTAAAATTTTGTTTTTGGAGCCGTATATTAGAGTGATAATGAAGTTTTTGTCTCTATTAAAAAAAAGGATTAATAATAATAAAAGGTGAAAGCCACAAAAGGAGGACGGTGTCTTCTAAAAGATAGAAAAGAAGTGTTTTAGAGGAAGAGGAGAAGGACGTTGCAATCTGCCGACAGTTTGATATCTTAGAAGAAACCAGAGAGTGTTTGAAATGTGGCTGTGGAATTTTTTAATAACTTGTCAGGTTTCCTTTCCATTTTATGACGTCTTTTCAGCTCATTTCATCTTTAATTTGCCCAAAAATTTGAAATTCAATGACCCAAATTTGTATACGTTTTCAATCCCCATCCATCTAAATGCCTATATCTTGAACGAGATAAGCATTCATCAAAACTATAACTCGAACACCGCTTTCTTCTCATAATGCTAGAGTTTCGAACCTAAACTTGCATCAAACATGAGTATAACTTAGTAGTGATTGATATATACTTACAGGAGTTGCCTTTTATAGTCTTGTTCAGCAGTTATGTTGCAAGTATTCTTTTACAAATTTGAGGCAAGTCGTACTTTTAGGGCGCTATACAGAAGTTTATGCCTGCTTATCCCGGCTACAATCACACTATTGAACAATGATCCAACTGTTCCATTCCCAAGAAAGCTATCTTGTCATGTGTCATGTGTCATGTCCCAAAGGAAAGAAATAGAATCTACTTCATTCTTCCTTTCTAGTTAAAATCCTCTCCACTGCACAAAAAATCATATCAAATAACAAAGTCTAAATGATAGCAAAAATACAAACAGTTGAAGAAAGGGATAGGATTAGGTAGTTTTTGAGGTGCCCACATCACATCTCTTTTGCTTTTTGGAGCTATGCATGTTTTGTCCATTACCAACAGCAGATGATACCTTGGCTAGCCTGCAAACAAAATTAAGCAGTCAATTCACTAAAAATATATAGAGCCACTAGGCAATCATACCTTGGCCAGCCAAAAACAAGACAAAAAAATCCATCGGACTGGAGAAATTTCAATTCTCTTTCAAGTAGCTTTTGTAATTTCAACCCAACTTTTCTTGCTTACAGAACTCATAAAAAACATCAGCTACATCAGTATGCACTGGAGGAATATCTAGTAAGTTTTGAAGTTAAACCGTCAGAAGTCAGAACAAGGGATACAGACAAGAGAACATCAAAAGGAACAGATTCTGTCTGGTGGCTGCTACAACGTCAAAAGGTGGGAAGAGGAGATGTTCGGCACTGTACATAAGTAAATTAAGAGGCTAAGAAGCTGAAGGGACAATTTCACCCAAGCATTTAGCTCAATTTGTAATAACATCTGACAAAGAGAGAATGGAGATTGGATGGAAAGAAAAAAATTTAAGGAGTCTCGGACTGGTTTAGGACATTTATGAATTAGATGCTTTTTCATGTATTTTTCTTGTAAGTAGACAATAACTACTAGCGGTGGGTTTGGACCGTTACAAATGGTATCAGAGCTAGACACCGGGTGGTGTGCAATTGAAGACGTTGGGCCCCCAAGAGAGGTGGATTGTGAGATCGCACATCTGTTGGAGAGGGGAATGAAACATTCTTTATAAGGGGTGGAAAACTTTGAATTGTGAGATGTTACATCGGTTGGAAAGGGGATTGAAGCATTCCTTATAAGCATGTGGAAACCTCTCTCTAGCAGACACGTTTTAAAACCTAGAGGGAAAACTAAAAAGGGAAAGCCTCAAAAAAGACTATCTACTAGTTGTGGGCTTGAGCTGTTACATGTTTCGTGGGATGTTTACAATTAAACAGGTAGAAGACACTAGAATATTTCATAAGTTGGAGCACAACTCTAAGTTTTTAACTATATCAAGTTGTTATGGTTTCAACATTAAAATATGAAATCCCCAAACCACTTCAATAAATCTTATTTCTACCCACAAGGAACCAACTCCCTTCACTCCCGTCCTTGTCTATAAATACAACCCTACAAAATAAACAAAACCACAACATTTCTCTCTTAGAACTCCTACCAGGAACTAGCTCACTTAACTTCCCCCTCCTTCCCTATAAACAAATATAGATGTATCTCAACTTCCCAATATCTGAAATAATGATCTTCAGTGCATAATGAACCTTCGTGACAATCAAAATAATTATACTAATCAACAGCAAGTAAATTCAGCTAAATGATTGTGGAGCTATATATCTGCCTGCCTAAACATCCACCCATACCCGAGAAGGTAGTCCTTCAAGAAAAAGAAAAGCATGTAGAAACCCACATAATAAGAAGAACTAATGACAAAGGGAGGAAAATTAACAGCAGCCTCTTACCCATACAATTCCCTCAATCTCAGAATTGCTGGTTGAAAACCTGAACTTAGAGGAACAAGTTGCACAACTCTCGAGTGTTGTGCATTGCCATTCTTTGGTTTAGAGATCGTCATTCTAAACATCTCTCCCTCAAGAATTTCACTTACAGCTTCAGCTGCATCACGAAATGAAACTTCCACCAGTAATCAGACCATAAGGAAACAGAACAGCTTGGATGAACGAAGATTAAGCAAGATTTTACGGAAAACAATTGAAAATTCTCCCACAAATTGTATTTGTAACGTAATCTTCAGACAACTTCTGATGATCATTAAGGGACTCCGCTTCTAGGTTGTTTTCTCTAGGCTGTTTAATGAAATGCCTCTCGTTCTAAATCGTTTATGTCCGTTCAAAGAGAATCTCACAGATACAAAGGGAATTTACCAGCAAAAGGATGTAGCTTAGCAAAGTCGAAAAACTCATCAGCAGAGCAACCAAACAGAACCCTAGCAACCCTATCAAAGCATATAACAGTTTGTACTTTCTTATCCGTAGCAATTGACATCTGCCAAAAAACAATGGAAATATAGGAACCCTAATCAGAGCCACAATATAAAAAATGCAATGCATGCACATACTCAAACCCAATGAGTCGATACACAAAGATAAGCATAACCCCAACATTTCCCACTCAAATTTCAAATGGAATTCCAACGACAAGAACATCGTATGAAATTTCCACACATTCTGAAAATAAATTCTCAAGTAGAAAAGCGGAGATACTCACAAGTATACGAAAGACACGCTTGGAGGAGGAGGAACCGGGATTGAAGGCGTTGAAGTTGCAGAATTTGCAGAGAGAAAAAGGGGGGTTACTAGGGAGTGTCCTCTCACAGATTGAACAAACCCTGTAGCAGAAACTGGTGTGATCCATGGCTATCACTGCGCACATTGTTGTTATTCGCTTATCGTTTTCCATTACTCCTCTGATGGAGGTTGCCTCCGTTCCTGGAAAATGAAAAGACGCGGCGCTCCGCCGCTACACAAAACACTGTTCAGATTTCAGATACCCCCAAAAGTTAGCGTTTTGGTGGGAAAAAATGACCCAATATTGAAAGGTAAAATTTGGTTTATTTTTTTACACGGATTATTTTAAAACTATTATTATAGATGAAACTGTTAAAAAAATGATTAAACTGTTAAAAAAAAGGTTTTTAACCTTAAAAAAGTCTCATTTAACTTTGGTCCTGCTATTCTATTGGGCCTTATAATTTTCCATAATCTTTCAAGTCATCTGGTTCGGCCCAGTCTCTGGCTGGGCCTGTAGTCAACAAACGGCCCACTGATACTATGGTGGCTTCATCGCCGGGAACAGAGGCGATGAAAAACCCAACGAATATAGGAGACCTGGAATGCACGGGTCTGGAGCCTCGGTCTTCAAACAACGAATTAAGAAGCTCCATCAATTTGGTACGTTCCTTCTCTTCATTGGGCAAAACTCTTTTCTGTCTGTCAAAATCTTAATTTTATATGCATTAATCTTCCACAATTTTCCGTTTATTCCGTACTAGAACATGAGTTGAGTGTGTGATCTTGTCTCTTCCCTTCCGGAAAGAAGAAATTAGTTCAAAGATAATCGCCGATGCTTTCAATCTGGTTTCTATCTATGGAAAAGGGTTTTAGTCGATTGGATTTGCTTCTAGGAATATGAATCTCGACTTTATTTTGTCTAGACTATGTATGTTTATGCAATAACTCATTAGAAGTAGTTCAGCATTTTTGTTCAGTTCAGGCGTTACTACTTTATATTTATGTAATGAAGTAATTTCCATAGGTATCTCTCAATCTAAATCCCGGCCAACACAAAAGAAAATCTGAATTCTGCATTGCAGCAAATACGTTCTGAGGAAAGGTTCTTGCTATGGAGACCGACAGGTACAGTAGTTTTGGCTTTCCTATTTGTTTACTATTTTGTATTGGAAGCCATAATCTTAAGTAATTTATGGCATCTGCTCATATCTTGAAAATAAGCTATGCATGTTAGTTTTTATTCTTACCATCTAATGTATTATTCAATTTTGTTTTATCAGGTTGAATTCTCCCAGTACATTTACCATGACCATGGAAGTATTGGGTCATGAATTGCGATTCTATCAGGTATTGCGATTCTATCAGATTTGAAATTATCACTTGGCAGTCTATCATATCCATGGTACTTCAAGAACATGTCTATAGTAGCTCATTTGTGTAATAAGTACTCATCCACAATAGAATCCTTTACGCCTTTGAGATTTTGGAGAGACATTTGTGTAGGCCTTGCTAATTTTTGTTCCACTGTAATATATGTAATAACATATCTGACCATGGAAATATGTTGCATTGTGGTGCATAGGATCCCAATTCGAAACATTTAGGAACAACAGTGTGGGATGCATCACTGGTGTTCGTCAAGTTTCTGGTAATCACCGTTCTACCTTTACATTTGCGTTGATCAGGATTTTCCATTTTTCTTACAGTCTTTGGATTTATCAGTATCATCTTGCTTACGAAGGGAAAATTTAGTTGTTTGTACAAAAGTTTTCTATTTTGTTACTCTGTTAACAATATATGATGCGCCTAGTCGAATGGAACATATTTAGAGCATGCTTTCTGCAACGATTAGATTTTTATGAACTCCTCATTCATCTGTGAACATATAGTGTGAAATGTCATTCAATACAACTATTTTATCGAAGGTAGTTTACCGTAACCCTTCATGGCACATCCTTTATTGTTTTAGATTTATTTTTTCATGGGTCACATGATATGTATCTTAATTAGATCTGTAAGATTATCGTTCTTTAAAAACGTTTAAGTTCTTCTTTCACTGTTTCAGGAGAGGAATTGTCGAAAAGGAAAATTTAGCCCTTCTAAACTTAAGGGAAAGCGTGTTGTCGAACTTGGCGCTGGTTGTGGGCTAGCTGGGTTTGGTGAGTCTTTGATGTAAAGTTTAATATGGAACAATTCCTTTGAGTTGCTAATCCTTGTGGTTTAAGGGCTAACTATTTTAAGTTGAACTTCTCTTTGTAGGCATGGCATTGCTTGGATGTGATGTAGTTGCTACAGACCAAAAGGAGGTTTTGCCTATACTATCAAGAAATATCGAGCGTAATACACCAAGCTTAGCACAGATGAATCCCTCAGGTAGGCTAATGGTGGCAATTCCTTGTAACAATCATTAACATGCTAATGGTGGCAATTCAGTTAGAAAAATCAGTTTGTTTGAAGTTTGTTTTAGGGCTTTAATTTAATTATGGTTTAATTTAATCTTACGAGCATGATAGTATTTGTAATTGATTGTGTTATGGAGAGCCTTTGATTTTCTTAGGTTTTTCTAATTAGGGAAACTTGTTCGTTGTAGATTCATTTGGTTCAATTAGGGCAGCAGAATTAGACTGGGGGAATGAAGATCATATCAAGGCTGTAGGCCCACCCTTTGACTTTATTATTGGCACTGACGTGGTAAGTTTATGAAGATTATTTCTGGTTGAAGCATACAATGGTTCATTATTCAATAGCATGGTTTTCTCATATGATTTACAAAGCAAATAAGCGGCCACAAAAGTTGTAATTTTTATGATTCAACGTGAAGGTTTATGCAGAACATCTCTTGGAACCACTTTTAAAGACAATACATGCATTATCAGGTCCCAAAACTACAATTATGGTATGAAATATCACTTTTATCCACATTTTCACATTGGAGATTATGCTTTGCTCATTTATTCATACTTGTTATGTGAAGTTGGGGTATGAGATTCGTTCAACAAATGTTCATGAGCAAATGCTCGAGATGTGGAAAAAGAACTTCGAGGTGAAAACTGTATCAAAATCAAAGGTACGATTTACTTTCAACATTTCTAGAATCTCTGAAATGGCCATAGATTAAGATGTTTATCCTTGTACAGTTTTGTAGCATTGACAATAGAGATGACCCTGCCAGTCCTCGGCCAAATCAGTAAACCGTGTTACATTATTTATCTTGCTGTTTGTTGCAGATGGACTCCCAGTACCAGCATCCCAGCATTCAGCTTTACATTATGGTGCTGAAATCTGCAGCAGAGAACGCAGAGAAAACTCGAGAAAATGTCGATCAGGAAATTGACAGAGTTTTTTTGAGTCAGGAGATTGACGAAAAGGATGTAAGTTGCGATGGAAAGGGAATCCAGAAGGCGGATGAGCCCGTTTCGGGACGTGAGGATCAGAAACTGGGCGACTGGGAAGCTAGAAGAATAGGCTCTGTGGCTGCTCGGCTTCTGCAAGATGTAAAAATTACTTGACCCTTTCTTTCGGAGATATCTTTTGCAGTGTTCATACTTGAACCAATAGGTTAAATTCATAATAATATTATACCTTGCACTGGTGACAATATTTGTTTATGAAATAGTTGACGGCTTCCCTTCATTTTTAAGTTCAATGCCACAAATCTTCGCAAAAGCAGGTGTGTACATACTCAAATCATTACAAGTATGAGCTAGAATGAGAACAAGAGCATTATTATACAGCAGAAATCTGAGAATTATTCAAGGTAATCTGACGAAGAATGTCACTGCCATTGATGCCTGCTCCCAATGTCTTATCACAACGACTACTCAAATGAGAGAAGTTATCCACATGAATCCCCAAATAAGAAACTAGGGGATCAGCCCTTGATTTCTCAATAACAAGTCTCAAGAATTGAGATTCCACGGTTGGAAATTTCAGTATTCTCCGGTAACCCACTGTGGAGCCTCTCACCACTGTTCTCCAAACACCCTCCTCATTCAGAATATCAAAATGAAACTCGGCAATCCTCTGTCCCATGTGAATCGGCTCTTGAATATGCAGCACATTGAAAGATATGAACTCTTGAAGGTTTAGATACAGAGACCAAGTGGGTTGATGATTCTGAGCAGGAGCCCAGTAAGTGTAGATACCTTCTTTGAGGACGTTCGAGGGGATGAAGCGGTCATCTTCGCCATTTCCTCGCGTGCTGCTCGCATCGAGAAGAGCATTTTCTGCCAAATTGTGGGAGAAAATGGAGTCTCGGATCTTGGTGAATTCTTGCAGCACTTGTATATCTTCAGCTGATATTGAACCTGAGGAATTTGGTGGTACATTTAGCAGCAAAAGGCAGTTTCTGCCGGCTGATTTGTAATATATGTCGAGAAGAGTTCTTGCTGACTTTGGAACTTCTGATGGATGCCAGAACCAACCAGGCCTTATTGAGACATCACACTCAGCTGGAACCCAATCGTGGCCAAATGGGTCACCTTCTCCGGAGTATCTGATTACGATAGAGGTTGGAATAAACAGCAAGCAGAGATAGCTATTAACATTGAGAAGTGAACTCACCGGGAATCAGTGCCGCCGATCTTTACAGCACTGCAGTTAAAAAGAGACCAGCAAGTAGGCTTGGCGACACCAGCTTCGTCACCAATCCACCGGCAGTCGGGACCGGCGTCGGAGAAAATGACAGCCCCCGGTTGGAGCTGATGAATTAAACTAAACCATGAATCGAAGAAATATTCCATGTCCTTCTCATCCTTTCCCTTTGCACCATCCAACCACACCTCCTTGATCTCTCCATACCTAAAAGATCAAATCAGCATCAAAACATTATCCAATTGACTCAATTAGCGAAACAAGCAAATTGTTAAAAGACAAGGAACCAAGAACCAGTGCCTGGTAAGCAATTCAGTCATTTGGCCAACATAGAACTCATTATATTCCTGAGTATTGCCATAACAGGGCTCGTGACGATCCCACGGCGACAGATAGAGTCCCAACCCAAGTCCTGCTTCTTTGGCAGCCTTGGCCAGTTCCCCAACCACATCTCCTTCCCCATCTCTCCAAGGGCTCGACCGTACCGAGTAATTTGTATACTCCGATGGCCACAAGCAGAACCCATCGTGGTGCTTGGCAGTTAGAATCAAACGGGAAAACCCAGCGTCCTTGGCGACTCGGACCCATTGAGCAGCATCGAGGTTGGTGGGGTTGAAGGCCGATGGGTCAACGTGGCCAGTTCCCCATTCGGAATCGGTGAAGGTATTGGGGCCAAAGTGAAGGAAAAGGGCCATGTTTCCGAGTTGCCATTGGATCTGAGAAGCGGAGGGGATGGGAAGAATGGGAAGCGGAGGGGGAGAGCTAATCGAAGAAGAAGAAGAAGAAGAAATGGGTTGGAGTAACAGAGAGAGGAGGAAGACAATGGAAATTTGGGTTTGAGAAATGGAATTGAGAGCTGAAGAAGGCTTGGGGATATTATTGCAATAGCAGAAGAACCTGATCGCCGGCTTCTTCTTCATTGGCAGTGAGTGAAGGTATCAGAATTTGGTTCAGTCGGAGCTTTTAAGCAATCCTCCTTTTCGTCTTTCACTGTTCAACCTCAACGACTTCACAAATGACCGAGCCCATGAGGAAGCTTGTCCCATGTGGGGCCCACTAAAGTCAGTACTTTATGTTTCAGACTTGTGCTGGTTCTGTCAGTACTTTATTGGGCCAGCCCAAGACGGCTTACTTGTTTATTATAAGCCCAATGGGCCATGTGGGGTCCACCAAAGTCCAGTGGGAAGCCCAATGGGCCATTTTTTTTTTAATGTTTTTTGTTTTGTTTCTGTCAATACTTTAAAGGGCCAGCCCAATACCTGACTTAGTCGGTGGGCTTATAAACAAATTACCATGGAAGCCCAAACGGCCAGCAACGAACATGAAAGGTTCAGGGCAGTAAGTCTCACGCGTCTCACACTAAATTAATTGAACCACACATGACGCACTAACCAAGTAAACGCTTGACTTTATTTTGTAGTTCATTTAAATCAACCCCTTCTTTAATTCTTTTTTTATAAAAAATAATCATATTCCTTTAATTTTTTAATCTTACCAATCCTACATGACATGTCCATCTTCCTTAATTTCCATCTAAAATAATTAATTTTATAAATATATATATATAAATAAAATTATTAAATATTAAGTTAATTCATTAAAATAATTACACTCCACGTAATGTACAGCAAGTCAATTGACTATAAGTCTTTGTAATTTACATTTTGATCCTTATATTTCACCTTATTTTATTACCCAACTATCACAATCGACCATATTACTTTAAAAACGTGGTGGAAGGAAGCAGCCACCACGTCCGCCGTCATCACCGCTATAAATACTCAGCCCACTCCCACTGTTTCAGAAACCAACTCTGCAAATTCAACAAATTCCATTCCTAATCGGAACAATGGGCAAGGTCAGTGGTCACTCCATTCTTCTTCCTCTGCTCTAATCCATTTCCCTTACTTTCTCTCTGTTTACAGAAGAAGAACGGCAGCCATGGAAGCGACAAAGAAGAAGACAGTACCACCGCCGTGTTCAACATCGATATGCACTGCGAGGGCTGCGCCAACAAACTCAGAAGGTGTGTCCGACAAATCCAAGGTATCATCAATTCCCGATTACCCTTTTTTCTTCTCAATATTATAAAGCAGATTCCAAACCCAATCCTATTTTTCCATTTACTGAAGGCGTTGAGAGAGTGAGAGCCGATTGGGAAGCCAACAAGCTAACAGTGATCGGAAAATTCGACGCGTCGTCGCTCCGAGAGAAGCTCGCCGATAAAACTAAGAAGAAAATCGACATTGTCTCGTTGGAGGGGAAGAAAGAAAAGGGGTCAAAGAAACCAGAGGACGAGAAGCCCAAAGACGAAGAGGTGAGTGAATACCTCTCATGGTTAGAGTAAATGAGGTGAGTCAACTCGGGATTTTTAAATTTATTTGTTACTTTTTAAATTATTCCGACCAGGCTCCGGCGACGACAGCGACGTTGAAGGTGGAACTGCACTGCCAGGGTTGCATCGAGAGGATTTACAAAGTCGTATCCAGGACCAAGGGTGAGATTTAATTATTGCTCATCAAATTAATTTTGGAGTTGAAGAGAATAATTAATGGGTTTTTTTTTTTTTTTTTTGCAGGAGTGGAGGATATGGCGATGGAGACACAAAAGGATTTGGTTACGGTGAAAGGGAAAATGGACGTCAAGGCTCTGATTCACAATTTGGAAGAGAAACTGAAGCGGAAAGTTGCAGTGGTGGTACCCAAAAAGGACAAAGACGACGGAGATGGCGGCGACAAGAACAAAAGCGGCGGAGAGGTCGCTCAACAGGATGGCGGCGGAGAAACGGACGGCGACAGACTTGATTACATGGCAGTTCCGGCTCCGGGTTATGAGTACGGGTTCGGGTACGGGTACGTGTACGGTCATGGTGGATTCGTTGGAGAACATTTGCCTTCGTCTCAAATGTTTAGCGATGAGAATCCGAATGCTTGCACAGTTATGTGATAAATATAGTTTTTTTTTTCTTTTAAATAAATGTAATTCGGCATTCAATTTTGGCATATTTTGTTCCCAATATACTTTATCTCATTTAATTTAAAACGAATGAATCAAAATTAAATTAGTTAAAACTATTATAATAATCTAGCTCAATAAAAATAAAATAGTCAATTATAAAAAATTAAATAATAAAATTACTGATAACAATACCATATTATTATTTTTCCGTAGGTACATTATTTCATGAAAATTTATTAATGAGAAATGACGTTCATAATCAAGTTCTTAAGAAATGGAATATTCTTTGAAATACCTAAAATATTCCAAAAGCAAGAAAGAGACCGCCAGATGGAAGATGTTCGATGAAAAGAAAAGTCCTACATCGGCTAATTTAGGAAATGATCATATGGGTTTATAATAAGGAATACTCTTTTGATTGATATGAGGCATTTTCAGGAATTCCAAAGTAAAGCTACGAGAACTTATGCTCAAAGTAGGCAATATCATACCCCTGTGGAAAGGCGCGTTCATCTAATAGAAGAAAGCAACCTAAAGCTTTTGGCCTTCCCAAACCTAATATCAAGCCAGTTCTTAAACAAGTAAAAGGAACAGGTAACCAAAAAGTGGAGAATATAATGATCATATTAGACCATTTCACTGTGATAACATCATTACCCATGTTGGATGCTCTCACTATCACTTTGCCACTAATAAACATAGTTCCTTCCATTTAGGTGCATCTAATCTTTCATGGTGACTGGGCGAGCTCAAGCTCGAGACGAGCCTCCTTTTTTCCCAGCCAAGGACTATTTTGATCCCTTTTGGATACTTACTCATAACTTGGCCGAACTGCATCATCGTCATTGTTGTCGAGAATAAGTTTAACTCCATTGTTCTTGAGTGAGTTGACTATAGCCCAGATTTTTGTGCGGTTTTTGAAGCCTTTCTTTTCGATTTCCTTGTTGATGTCCATGTGAATCCCTCTTCCTTGCCCCTGTTCGAGACCATCAACTTTGAGTCGCATAGCCAACACCTCTCCAACAACTGCTGCTGCCTTAGCATTACAAGACCGCCCACATTCAAGTGAACCCTTGATGGAGTGTTCAACTGTGGATGCAGTTGCGACAATCCGTCCATTGTTTCTATCTACCACGTTTGCGGTTATATACTTTAAAGATATGAATAATCGTACTACGTAGCGCTTTAATACTGTCATTCCCAACAGTTATATGTTCAAAATCCCCCTTCCAATCACCTATCCAAAATGTTAAAATATACCATTAATTTTCATACTCTGGGAAACCAAGTTGTCAATATACTAATTCATAATCATCAATCAGAAGCAGTGGCAGTAAGCCCAACCTTGAAAAAGCATCCCTTACAAGCTACAATTGAATGATAGATTCACACAGAGAACAAAACTAAAAGAATGGAAAAAATGAGCAACAAATGATTAAACATACAAACAAGTTGATGAAAATGATGCAAATAATTTCTAAGTTACAAACTAAATCATTGGCAAAAATTGCAATAAGTTCAAAGGTTTTTGAACCATTTCATTTTATAAAACCAGCGAACCTCTGATTACACATGTGATGAAATCATTCATTAAGACAATAAACACTCTATAAGGGAATGCAAAACATCTGATGGAGCAAATTTAGGCTTCCTTGTAGTCATTTTCATCAAAAAGCGAAATAAAATCACATCATGAGCGTCGAGAAACCAAAAGGGAAAAGTAATTTTTTTGAACTTTTTATAAGCGTTGCAGTATTCTAGAATGCATAAGAAAATCAAATATTGTACCTAATGGGAGCCTGACCTAAATGGTTAGAGGATTTGAACCTTGAATCATCAATCGATGAGCTCCAAGAACCCACAAAGATAATGTAACAACAATCGATTTCCCAAAGACCGAAACTTCTCTGCAATTAATAACAAGCAGCCCATCAGATAATTTATTCAAATAAGGACATTCAACAACATAAATTTAGAGAAAAAGTTCAGAATTTTGAGAAATCTCAATTCTAAGAAGTGATAAAATTAACGCAGCCTCCCTCCTCTTTTCTTTCTTTCTACCCTAAATCGAAAACCCATCTTCCAATTTCGTGTTTAACTTTTTCTGTTCTTCGTTTTTGAGTTTTGGATAGGTCTGTTGTTTCTAGAGCTTGCCGAATTGCTTCCTGTCCTACCATGGCGTGTCTAACAGAGAAACAACGAAAAAAGATAAAACCCTAGAAAAGAAAGTAACCGAATCGAAATTAGTGGTTCGTTTAAGCTCAAAACCAATGAAACTAAACGCATTAATCAACTAATCGCTCCCAGTTCACCAGAAAAACAAAAGCAGAGAGGGAGCAGCATCACAGTAAAGCAATGAATGCAGAGTGATATGATTACCTCGAAAGGAAGCGCAATGGAGGGTCGGAAGACGAGATACAACAAAACCAGAGATGCTCCACAAGGGAAGAAATTGGGAGAAGACAGTGATCAATGTGACGAAGTGGGCCTTTCCATTTGGTTGCAACTTTTAAAGTGCAGGCCCATGGGCTTCCGAATTGTAATTGGGCCAACTTTTAAAGTCCAGCCCAATATCAATACAAAGTAAATTGTCTTATATGCCCTCACGAGGGCGTTAGAATAACTAATTCAGTCGGCTACGCAACTAGAAGAAATTGTTCGTGAAAGACACGTGGAGACATCAGCACGCCTATAAAAAGGAAGCCTCAGCCTCCTGATCGGCAGAACCTCTAACCCTCAATCTGCATCGCAGTACGCGTCGCAGGTTTGATAAAAAGCGCAGAACAAAAGCGCCGTGAGAGCGAAGACCGATTTCTTCCTCTTCTCGCTCGCTGTGTCGGTGTCACTTTTGCGCGGTTCTTCTTTATCTGTTTCCCCTGGTATGTCTATGTATTCGGGATTCTTCACGACGTCTCTTATTTTGTTTCTATTGTTTTTAGGGTTTTTTTTTGGTGATTGATTGATTGATTTTTTTTTTTTTTTTTGATCCTTTTAGGATAAGGATGGTTTCCGACGCGAGCAAGAAGAAAGCTGCTCAGAAGAAGGCGGCTGCGGCGGCCAAGCGTGGAGGAAAAGCAGCGGCGGCGGCTGCAGCTTCTTCCAAGGCTGCAGCGGCCAATTCGCAGAATGGAGTTGATAAGTTGGCGAATGGAGTGGACGCTCTTCAATTATCTGATCGGACTTGTACTGGTGTGCTTTGCTCACATCCTCTCTCCAGAGACATCCGAGTAAGCCCTAATTTTATTCTAGAATCAAATTCTTGTAAATCTATTGAGTGCTTCTTTTTAAAAGAATATCATAAAGAACTGTGGACTATTTTACTTTTTTATATATGTTTATTCTCCAAATGGTACCTATTTTTGCGGAACTTGTGTAGCCTTCTTTAGTGTTCTATTGCTTTCAGTTTTTGGCAATAAATTATTCTTCGTTGTATAGTTTTTTTTCCTCCATGTAATTAATTGAAACAGTTGCTTATGGATAAATTTTCAATTGGATAATGCGCCATTAGGTTAGGTGGTGATTAGTGTTCTTTAATTCTCTTTTATTTAAAAAGAATAGTTGTTCCGTTGGATAATGCGTCAGTAGGTTAGGTTGAGATCTCCTATGACTCTTCAGCATAAGGATATTGAACCTTAGTATTCGTTCATTTTCCTTGGTGATATTTGGAAGTAGTGTCGTGCCATTAGGGAAGTGGGAGTGATGACTCGTAGTAATATACTTACATGTGTGCTTTTTGCAGATAGAATCTTTGACAGTGACCTTTCATGGGCATGACCTTATAGTTGATTCCGAGCTGGAGCTCAATTACGGCAGGTTTGCTTTTAACTATTACCGGCACAAGTAATTTCATTTCCATATGGATTCTTGTGGTTAAGCTTAATGTTTACAATTTATTCTTCAGACGTTATGGTTTGCTTGGATTAAATGGATGTGGTAAATCTACACTTCTATCGGCAATTGGTTGTCGAGAGCTTCCTATTCCAGAACATATGGATATATATCACCTTACACGAGAGATCGAAGCTTCTGACATGTCTTCACTTGAAGCTGTGATGAGTTGTGATGAGGAGAGGTTGAAGTTGGAGAAGGAGGCAGAATCCTTGGCTGCACAAGTATGTTGATTAAAATCGAGTTTCTACGCTCTAAAAATTTACTAGTGCTCATTATCTGCTGTTCTATTTAACTCAGGAGGATGGAGGCGGAGAGCAGCTTGATCGTATCTATGAACGTTTAGAAGCAATGGACGCATCAACTGCAGAAAAACGTGCTGCTGAAATTCTTAATGGGCTTGGGTTTAACAAGCAGATGCAAGGGAAGAAAACACGGGATTTTTCTGGTGGTTGGAGGATGAGGATTGCCTTAGCTCGTGCCCTATTCATGAACCCCACCATCCTTTTACTGGATGAACCGACCAATCATCTAGGTATATTTGTTTGGTTCAATGTTCTTTTATCCCATGTATAATTGACACTTATGCTTCCCTGTGCTACTGCTAAACGTTAGCAAGAGTAGCCTTCTGCATGCTATTTGAATTAGTTAAACGTATCATATCTAGCTTATTTATTGTTTTATTGCTGGAAGTGAATAATCTGACGAGTATCTTTGTTAATTTTCTGAATGACAGATCTAGAGGCTTGTGTCTGGCTGGAAGAAAACTTGAAGAAGTTTGACCGGATCCTGGTTGTGGTTTCACATTCCCAGGACTTTCTTAACGGTGTTTGCACAAACATTATACACATGCAGAACAGAAAATTAAAGCTTTACACGGGTAACTATGATCAGTATGTTCAGACCCGTTCTGAACTGGAAGAGAATCAGATGAAAATGTATAAGTGGGAGCAGGATCAGATTGCTTCCATGAAAGAGTATATTGCCAGATTTGGGCATGGATCAGCAAAATTAGCACGGCAGGCTCAGAGTAAGGAGAAAACACTGGCAAAGATGGAGAGGGGTGGTCTTACTGAAAAGGTGGTGAGAGACAAGGTTCTTGTTTTCCGCTTTGTTGATGTTGGGAAGCTTCCCCCTCCAGTTCTTCAGTTCGTGGAAGTAACATTTGGTTATACCCCTGATAATCTCATCTATAAGAACATCGACTTTGGAGTTGATTTGGACTCTCGGATAGCTTTGGTTGGACCCAATGGTGCTGGAAAGAGTACCCTGTTGAAGCTGATGACAGGGGAACTGGTTCCTCTAGATGGCATGGTCCGACGACATAATCACCTTAGAATTGCCCAGTTTCATCAACATTTAGCTGATAAACTCGACTTGGAAATGTCTGCTCTCCAGTTCATGATAAAAGAGTACCCAGGAAATGAAGAGGAGAAGATGAGAGCGGCAATTGGAAAGTTCGGGCTCTCCGGTAAAGCCCAAGTGATGCCAATGAAAAATTTGTCCGATGGGCAGAGGAGCCGTGTTATCTTTGCGTGGTTAGCATGGAGACAACCCCACTTATTATTGCTTGATGAGCCCACTAATCACTTGGATATCGAGACAATCGACTCGTTGGCAGAGGCACTAAATGAGTGGGATGGAGGATTGGTTCTTGTAAGCCATGATTTTAGGCTTATTAACCAAGTGGCCCAGGAGATATGGGTATGCGAAAATCAAGCTGTAACCAAGTGGGAGGGTGACATCATGGACTTCAAGGAACACTTGAAGGTGAAGGCTGGATTAGCTGATTAAAGCTGTAAAATCGCGAGTTTAGTCTGTTAAAATCTATACCATATGCCTCGGCTTGAATGTGGTGTGGTATCACGCTACGTCTCGGCCAGCATGTACGTGATGTGCCCACAAAATGAGCGGTGGGTGTGAACACTGATGGGCTTTGTTATTGGGCCTAGTAGGTGATGTTTTTGTTTAAATCTTTCGTGTACCCTATATATATATATATATATTATATGAATTGGTTGGTTTTTGAGCCAACCTTGATAGAGCCATGTCCAATATTTTCCTTTTAGACACCATGCGAATATGAACAGACGATCTTATATTTTTGGGTTTTCTTATGGAGTGAAATATATCGGTCTTGTTTCTTGTTTGGGCCACGTTCTGAGACTCACCAAGCTTACCCGATGATTAGGGGTTTATGTTGGCATGAACGTTAAAATAGGTCTGGTTGGTATGGAAGGTAATTAGTTATTCTTTTTCATAATCTCTATTAAAAAGTTATTATAGCTATATTAAAAATATAAATATATGCCACGCGTGTATATATATATATATATATATATATAAATAACGAAATGTTGGGCAAAATATTTATTCTATTGGTTAAGCTATTTAGGTATTAAAAACATACTTAGGAATATGCAAATAACATTGATGGATAACAAATCCAAACATCATTATTGAACCTTTTTGTATTTATTGGCATGGTATATCAATGATGGATCAAATATCAAATGAACATATAAATAATCACCCATGGAAAACAAAATTAAAATATTATGAATTTACCCTTTCTTTTTTTTTCTTTTTTTTTTTTTAATTTGTTGCTACACGATATTACACACGATTGTATCAATCTTAACAAATAAGCTTAGAAAATAAACGTTAAATATTAGTATTTTTATTCATAATACTAATATATAAGATAGGTAATATCAGTAATAAATATTATAACAAGCGAGCATACAAAAAATTATAACAAACAAGCATACAAACAGTCGATAATAGACCGACACTTCACTTAAGAGTTACAGATACAAAAGAAAATAAAACAAATTAGAAAACAAGACACCCTTTTTAAGTACGTGCATGATAGGAAGTAAAAATTACACCAAATTAAACACAACACAACACAAAATCAACATGTCAAATGGCCATGAACTTTTGTTAGCCATTCTCAAAATATAAAATTTTCCATAGGTAAAAAGTTTTACAAAGCCCCTGAAGAGTTGAAGCTACAAAAAAAACAACCTCTTGATCCTCTTGGGTCATTTCAATAGCTTCAAAACCCCACATTATGTTCCTCCTCTTCCTCCTCCTCCTATTCCTCTGCCAAGATATGCTCGAGCTCGCTCGGTCGACACGGGACGGTCACTGCACCTTCATGATTAAATCCATACTCCTCCGCCGCAGCCTCCAACAGTCTCAAAAACGTCGGATTCGTCAAGCAACTCAACGGAACAGCAAACCGTTTCGGCTCCTCAGCATCAACTGCCACAACTGCAAAATGTCCTTCTTTGACATCCTCCGGTACCGGAGTCGAGTCGTAATCGAACTCATCTTGACCAGAATCAGACCTCCGACCTAAGGAGAGGCTTCTCTGCAGCTTCCCAACGGCGGACTTGAGCTTGACAATGCCATTCTTCTTCATGGCGACGGTCACAAGCTTAGTCATTGGATCGATGATAATGGTAATGTGGGTGCTGAATGAATTTATAGTATGGGGTTTGGAGAGCATGCCATGTGACTTCGTCGCTCTCAGCATTCCATGAAACGTCTCTACTGGAAGTCATGTCTGTCTCCCTGTCCAATAAACCTCAATTATATCTAATTTTGGTCTTTAACTAATTTAACGGTCTTAATTTACATCAAATTAAAAAGAAAAAGAAGAATATTATGAAAATAGATTGGAGGCTGAGATCTGGACCGTTGGAAGGGGTTTAGATGGAGGGCGTGTGAAGAGACACGTATCACTATAAATACACAACTCAAAGTACAGACAAGGCGTTGTACAATTCCTAATGCTTGGTTGTACACCCGATCCACCTCTTTAACCCGCAACCGCCTCTCGGCCCCTCCGAACCAGCCCGGCCCACCGGCCCAATTAATTCATTTTCAGATCGCCACACGTGTCCCTACATTAATTATTAATTCGAACTCCAAAAAAAGAAAAAAGAAAAAAAAACTCACAATTAATTCCCACCTTCCTCTCAATTTCTTTCCAAGAAAATCCAGCCATTTTATTAGTTTCTATTTAATTTATAATTGTATAATTGTTTCCCTTTTATTTTATTTTGGGCCAATTTTTAGGTAATTCCATTTGCGCTCTATTCACTTAACCACTTACACAGGAACAAGTGAGCTAAGTCAATTCGTTATTGATTCGCCTACGGCCAAACGACCTATGCTCGAGCCTCTAGTCTCGGTTTAAGAAGAAAATTTTAGAAAACGGAGGTAGAGAGATTTCAAAATAAAATTTTGAAAAGAAGATTTGAAACATTGAAATTAGTGTTATATGTGATGCAAACAACAACTTATAACATATAACTATTCGGGTAAGGAGAAGTTTACTAAGACAAGAAAGATTCAATTTTATTTTAATTTATTCAAACATAAATTAACAAAAAAAGACATTAATTATTCAACTCAATAAATAAATAAAAATAATTAAAAATACTAAATTAAAATGATACATACATGCATACATACACACACACATATATATATATATATATATATATATATATATATATATATATGTGGTATGTCGACCATTTCAAACAAATAACAAATATTGACAATACTATGTTTGATTGATTTGGATGTGGATTTGTTGTTAGTAAATCTACATAGAATTATTAAAGGGTCAGACATGTTTTAACTTGTGGGGCAGGGGCAGGAGATCAGGGCAGGGGCTTTAAGATTTAAATCCACCTGTAATTAAATTAGAGGGAAAATTTTATAATATTAATCAGTATATACTACTTTTATTCAACATTTTACGATAATATCCATTTCTTTCTTCTAAATATTTATTTATTTTTTTTTTTTTTTTTTTTTTTTTTTTTTTTTTTTTTTTTTTTTTTTTTTTTTTTTTTTTTTTTTTTTTTTTTTTTTTTTTTTTTTTTTTTTTTTTTTTTTTTTTGTAACATATACTAAATGATATATTATTTTATTTTATGAGTTATACACCATTTTAAAGTTTGTTATATGATATATTGAGATTATAATACTAAAAAAATTCTCAAAACTATAAATATTGAGTGTCAACATTATTGGGCGTTGAATACTGCCTGATGACATGGACCAATCAAATTTTGATGTTAGCTAACACATGTTATTATTATTCTTAATTTGAACTCGACAAAGTGGACATGGCTTTAATTCGTATCATTATGGGGTAGTAATAAAAATATGTTATATATTTTTTTTTTCTATTAAAAATTATTAAAAAAAAATTAATGAATTTTGAATGATTAAAACATGTTTTGAAGTGATCCTAACCATTTTAAAATAAACTATGGACAAGGAGAACTATAGAGTGAAGGACAATGTCGAAAGTGGGACAATAGGTTGAAGACAAGGCAAGGTGACAAGTTCATGTGCAAAACTCGAGCAGTGTTTTGTTCCCAAAACCCAACAGCAAAATTATGTCTTTCCAACTGTTTTGGTACCTTTTATTCTCAATTCATTGTCCCTTTGCTATTAAGGATGTAGTTAATACTTCGATTCACTCAGTTGTTTTACGTTTTATTTTCCTTAATTTCCGTAAATAGAATGAAAATTTTCATTAAATAAAATAGACATATCTATATTAGCTTACAAAAATATGCATAGTGACATTTATGGAATTTTGTCACACTAACACAAACATTTATTGTCACTGGGCTCGTGAGAGTGATGATAAATACCCAAAATAGAAAGAAAAAAAAAACTTTGTGAAACCCAAAGAAAATCGCAATGGGACATGGCAGCACAAAGTTTATCGTTCAATTTTGGGTAGTCTGAACACGAGACAATGGGACAGCATGTGGCTCGACATGTGGGTCGAGTTGAGCCAGTGGATGAAGTAGTCTCTATCTTACGGGAATGGAGGTAGCTAGGTCAAGTCGAGAGGAATTCAAAGTTATATTTATAATGAAGTCGAAAGCTTCCATTCCAAGGTTCATAGTTAAGGATACATATGAAAGAAAAAAGACACGAAACACCGCTTGGTTGGTCAACCTTTATCCTTTCTCGTCAAACGCCACTTTAGTTTGGTCTCTTTATCGTCTCTAGTAATTGGTGAATCTCAACGGCGATTTTGAATCTTCTTCCTTCTCTTTCAGCAATGGCTGCCATTATACCCTTTATAAATTCATTGGGTCGATCATAATTAAACTTTTGGATTAAAGGCAACACAAAATCGAACCTAAAAATGGCCTTACAATCGGACCGCCACAACCAAAACCCCCACGCAATTTTCATTCCCTACCCTCTACAAGGCCATGTCATCCCCTCCGTCCACTTGGCCACTCACCTCGCGGCACGTGGCTTCACCCTCACCTTCATCAACACACACGCCATCCACCACCAAACCTCCACCGCCCATTCCACACCCCTCGATGATTTGTTTTCCGGCGTACGGAACTCCGGGCTGGACATACGGTACACAACCGTGTCGGACGGCCTTCCACTGGGATTCGATCGCTCGCTGAACCATGACCAGTTTATGGGGTCGCTCTTGCATGTATTCTCTGCCCACGTGGAGGAGGAGGTTGAGAAGATTGTGAAAACGGCGTCGTCTGGAGGAGCGGCGCCGGTGAGTTGTCTGATAGCGGATACGTTCTTCGTGTGGCCGTCGAAGGTAGCCAAGAAGTTTAATCTCCTTTATGTTTCGTTCTGGACGGAACCTGCCTTGGTTTTTTCGCTCTATTATCACTTGAATCTTCTCCGCAAGAACGGCCATTTTGAACGTCGAGGTAATTTATTCGATCAACATGACTATTCACAATGATACGATATTGTTTAATATAAGAGTTAGTATTATTTGATTATAAACTCAAAATTATAATTTATAAATGGATGGTAATTAAAATCTTAATCAGACATTCGACGGGATGCTATAGATTATGTACCAGGAGTGTCCCCAATCAATCCACAAGATACGATGTCGTATTTGCAAGAGACTGATACGACGTCGGTTTGTCACCAAATCATATTCGCAGCGTTTCACGACGTTAAAGCTGCAGATTTCGTGTTATGCAACACCGTACAAGAGTTGGAAAACGACACCGTATCCGCTCTACAAGCCCAAATCCCTTTCTACGCCATCGGGCCCATTTTCCCACGTGGCTTCACCAAATCCTCCGTGGCAACCAGCCTATGGCCCGAGTCCGACTGCACCCACTGGCTAAATTCCAAGCCCCATGGTTCGGTCCTCTACGTTTCATTCGGAAGCTACGCCCACGTCTCAAAGACGGACCTCACCGAAATCGCTTATGGGCTTTCACTGAGTGGGGTCCATTTCATTTGGGTGCTCCGAGCCGACATTGTGAACTCAAACGACACCGATCCGTTGCCTGTCGGGTACCGGGAGGAGGTAGGTGAGCGTTCGATGATCGTGACATGGTGCCGTCAGAATCAAGTGCTGGCTCACCCGGCAATCGGAGGGTTCTTGAGTCACTGCGGATGGAATTCGATTCTGGAAAGCATTTGGTGTAATGTACCATTGTTGTGTTTTCCTTTGCTTACTGATCAGTTCACGAATCGGAAATTAGTGGTGGAGGATTGGACGGTTGGGATTAATCTGAGAGATGGACGGCAGATGATATCGAAGGAAAAGGTTTCGGAGAAGATTAACCGTCTGATGGATCTTAAATCAGGGAGCCAGTATAAAACTGCTGTTAGAGAAGTGAGGAAGACGTTGGAAGATGCCGTGAAACCCAATGGGTCATCCGATAAAGCTATGAACCGGTTTATCAGCGATCTGAACGCCGCCGTCTCAAATAAATGAGGGCGGCGGAACACGAGAGCCCGTGGGTTCTAGATTTATAAACTACGATAATTTAATTTTTTAAAGAATAAAAATATTTTTAGGATAGCATAATTAGCTGACGAATTAGTGCTAATTAACCTAAATTTTGGTAAAAGTTTTAATGTTGTTTGAGGTTTGAGGTGGTCTTTATGTTCCAAAATTTTTTAATTTAATTTTTTATTTTTAACTTTCAAATTTAGCCGCATATATTTAGGTAATGTTTAAAATCAATTGATTGTGTAACACAATATTTACTAAATTAGCATAAATTTAAAATAATTTAAATTTGAAAAAAAATAAATAAATTATAAATTCTATTTGGTACCCAACTTTTAAAATTAATAGATCTACTCGGAATTAAAATTAAAAATTAAAGATTTTATTAAATATAAAATGCAAGTTTCATAAATTTTGAATTGGAAAGAAACCAAATAAATACATATATGAAGTTCAAGAACTAAATTTATAATTTAACAAATTTAATTCCTACTACAAACTTTTAAGAAATCAATTTAACATTTGCAAAAGAATAAATTGAAACGGAAAAAAATATCTAAACTTTGTAAGATAACATCAGAATTGTAATCATATGTAATCAAGCTTCATGACCTGAGTTTCCACAATCTTTGGAGAACAAATTATATAGAGAGAGAGAGAGATAAATAAGAAATCTCTTAACATATAAAAAGATGGTGAAGAACAACAGAAAGCATATACAACAAAAATTGTTTATTTTCAAGGCGTATTAATGGAATGATCAGTGGTTGAAGAACAGCCACCAGAAGTATGATAGTTAACAAAGCGGCTAGGCGCAGAGGAGCGGCGGAAGCCTTTAGGGAGGCAGCTTTTGACTTCATTACCACCAAAAACAAGCCTCTTCCGATTCAGCTGAGGCTTGACGGTCTCATAGTCATCCGCTTCGGGAGTGGCAAGGGGCGTAACAATGGTGCTGGGCGCGCTGGGAGGGACGCAGCGAGCAGCCATTGATAGGGAAGGAGAAGATAGAAGAAGTAAGAAGAGGAGATAAAAGAGAAATGGGAAAAGGGAAGGCATAGCGATTGAGTTTACGGGTTGTGTTGGGAGTGGGCGCAGAGGGTTTAAAAAGGGCAAAAATGAGCTTTAAATGAGCTCGTGAGCAGCTGGAGCAGGCAGATATGGCACCAGCTTTGCATTCACTGGGCTCTCAAGGGTGGTGTCGAGGAGAGGTGGCCTTTCTCGTGAGTTTCTAACAAATCCACCCCTTTTTTAGTTCACCCAACCATCAAGTTTTGTAGTTCTTAATGATCTTTAGAGAGTGTGTTGGCTTTGAATCCAACAAACGACATATAACTGATCTGGAATTTCTGGACGACATATCGAAATCAAGTGTGGTCCTCCTTAATGCAAGGCGGCAGGGATATTAAATTTTGGGTTCTATGTCACGGACTTCGCCTCCAAAAGTAAACTCTTTGGAAATGATATCAGTTTAAGGTTCAATAAAAACTAGAAGGCTGAGGCAGACAACATTAACTTGTAGGAACTAAAATCGACCAAAACTTTAATGTGCGAGCCATTGAAGAGGAAGTAAGACATAAGATACAGCAAACTTTAATGGTTTTCAGTAACTTGCACGTCTAATCAGTGCATATCTAGACCCATTGGTGGTTCGTGGCTCGAGTCTAAACTCATAGATTAAATAAGATTAAGAACAAAAAAGCCGACTGGACGTTCATGTCAATAAGAATTTGCATATTTAGCAGTCTGAATGTTTTCAATTACTGCAGGGAAGAGTTGAATAAAATAGAGGTACAATATCTACGTTGTCAGCCTTCATTTACTTGGTGAAGTTATATGCTTCCACTCTAACTTCAATGACATATCACTTGTCATGAACATTTTCTACTGCTAAATCCATGTAGCCATGTCATTCTAGTGAATGTTGTTGATGTATGTGCATAACTAAGCTCGGCTAGTTCCTGTTCTGTGAACTGGTTTGTAAAGCACAACCGTGACGTATTTTGAATGAAAACGGTGTGTGAATCCAAGAGCTACGACGGAGCGTGGGGTGTCTCGGTTTTCGATAAAAAGATGGTTGAGAATTACATTCTGAGGCAATGGAAGAGTTCCACTGGTATCTCTACTTGCTGGGTGGCTGAGTAAGGTGTGCTGCAAATGAGGCGGGACAAATGGTGGATCACGTGCCTCGTCTTCGGTCACATGGTATTCATTGTTATAGGTTGAATCGGGGGACTTCGGGACTTCGAAACCAACTACGGTGGTCTGATCCTGTAGAAAGGATACATCTTTAAATCCCCATTTCATATTATTGGTTGATGAAAACACCTAGGTTTAGAACTTTAGCAGCTTACACTATCTTCAGAGTAAGGGTTCATGTTGAAGTGAAAGCTTCAATCTAACAGCAAAAACTCATCAATTGTGGAAAATTAAAAAACTGGAAACCTGAAAAGAACACAGGTTTTCTTCAGTGAGTATTTACATAAAAAAGATGAGCTCTAGTTAGAGGTCAAGACAAGTTGCATTCAAGTATGAATTCATGTAGCCTGCTATGTTTTAATTCGGATACCGACCAGAGTCTTGGGGACTTAATGTGAGACTAAGGAAACTATTGAGCAGTACCGTTATTGTTCCTTTTGCGAGTTCGTTAGGTACATCGATCGAACTTTAAACTGAAAATCCAAGAATAAGGAAAAAGGAGTGCACAGTGGTAAAACCCACCGCTAGCAGATATCTATGGGTATAAATTGGTGCAAGTATATGGAATAATACATGTATAGCCAATCGAATGGGATAGTCGCAATATCTGTGGGAACATTTGGAAATAATGGGACAATGTTAGTCTTGATGCCTTCGGAGCTCTTCTTCCAGAGCGTTTTATAATTATTCTCCTTCTTTGATCACTCGGTTGCAAGCATTATGTCCTTGCCCCAGAGTAAGGATGTTAATTGTTGGTCCTCTAATCTTTATTGACAGTTTACCTTTAGCTACTTATTCTCTTTTTTGTGCGGACCTCACCCTTCACTCCCTCTTTGTTCTCCTCGGTTTGTGAAAATGTTAGGAATCATAGACCTCTACAATAGTATGATATGGTCACTTTATGCATAAGTTCTCATGGCTTTCCTTTTGGTTTTTCCAAAAGACCTCATACCAGTGGAGATGCATTTCTTACTTATAAACTCATGATCATCCCCTTAATTAGCCAATGTAGGACCCCCTCCCAACAATTTTCAACAATCCTCCCCTCAAACAAAGTACACCATAGAGCCTCCCCTGAGACCTATGGAGCTCTCAAACAGTCTCCCCTTAATCGAGCCTTGACTCCTTCTCTGAGCTCCTCTAACAAAGTACATCCTTTGTTCGACTCTTGAATCACCTTTGACTACACAGGCTCAACTTTTTTGTTCTGACGCTTGAGGATTCTATTGACAAGGCAAAGTTAAGGGCATAACACTGATACCATGTTAGGAATCACATACCTCCACAAGAGTATGATATTGTCCACTTTAAACATAAGCTCTCATGGCTTTGCCTTTGGTTTCCCAGAAGGCCTCATGCCAATGGAGATGTGTTCCTTACTTATAAACTCATGATCATCCCCTTAATTAGCTAATGTGGGACTCCCTTCCAACAACCCTCAACAGAAAATACAAAGAATGTTAGCATTTTCACCCAGTAAGATTCTCACATGAGGATTGACACTAACGACCTCATGCAAGGATTTTCTTTTCTTCTTTGTGGATCCTAGTACTGCAATATTTGTAAAAGTGCTTTGAAGCATATGGTGCATGTTCTTTTGGGATGACAATTTGTTTTTAAGTGCAATTGAAGACTTTTTCTTTCAGGCTTGGAAGCAAATGGCTTGCAGCCAATCTTGCTAGTATATGATGGAGGAATCTTGCTAGTATATGATGGAGGAAGGGAGTTGTTCTATTTTTCACCCTAACACAAAACTTTGTGTGAGATCCCACGTTGATTGGAGAGAGGAACAAAACATTCTTTATAAGGGTGTGGAAATGTCTCCCTAACCGACGTGTTTTAAAACCTTAAGGGGAAATCCTAAAGGGAAAGCCCAAAAAGGGAAGCCCAAAGATGACAATATCTACCAGCAGTGGATTTGGGCTATTACAAATGGTATCAGAGTCAGACATCGGGCAATGTGCCAGCAAAGACATCGAGTCCTCAATGGGGCTAGATTGTGAGATCCTACCTCAGTTGGAGAGGGGAACGAAGCATTTTTTATAAGAGTGTGGAAACCTCTCTATTATCCACGCGTTTTTAAACCTTGAGGAAGCGTTTTAAAACCTTATGGGAAAGTTTGAAAGGGAAAGACCAAAGAGAACAATATCTACTAGCGGTGGCTTGAGCTGTTACACTCTGGGACGGGGGATGCACAATGGCAAGCTACTCAATTTCCATCTTAGAAAAAATTTGGCTGGAAAAAATAGAGATGCAGACAGTTCTTGGGAGAAGGTTAAGGCAATGGCTGGGTTTAATATTTCCCTTTAGATTTCTATAACAAAGGAATCTAGGGGTTTTCAATTGTCTCTCGTTCTAACTAATTGTGTAATGTTTTGTAGTTAGCAAAGTTCAGACAGCCATCAAAGCAGTAGCAATAAGATCATGAATTAATAGACATCCAGAAACATTGTGGCTGTATACAATGGTTATGAATAGAGCTACCATACAAACAAAATAAAAATTGAAGAACCAATGAGTATTGAAAGAAGCCACACCAAATTGAATGATTAAAAATACCAACTCCAATGAGTATCACTTTTTTTTTTTAATAGAATCAAGAGCATTTCTCTTTCCTGTAATTCTGAAAACAACACTTGTATGAGCAAGTACTCCCAATAATATCAAATGGTGCATTTGTAGGCTGAGCTGCAGGCATTCCCAACCCCAAAAAAAAAAATGGAAGTTCATAGGCGCTACAGCATTACGTAAAATTGAAAAGAAAATGGAAGATGGTAGCTGAAGAGGAGATTGACCTGAATGATTACAGATTGTTAGCCTTCAACAATCGATCAAAGACCGGACCGAAATAGTCGAATTCCGAAAGTGATCTGCAACATATAGCAATCCATCAAAGGATTCAGTGAAATAAGGAGATTGCGGAATGTAAACACTGG